CCCGCTACCAAAAATAGTGCTTTGTTGTGTATCTGATGGATGAAAGCCACTTTCGCCCTTCTCATTCTCTGTCGTCGCCATGCTTTTTCCACCTTGTGCGTATGAAAACAAAGGCACTGCACATGCGCGTTTTATCCATATTCTATCGCGATATTTCATTTTCTTATCGTTGCCCAACATTATACCGGTATTACCGTGAAAGGTATGATATGGCCCAGCCCTATAAAAACTAAACTGTATTGTGGAGAAAGGCATTGTGTACTATTCTGGAGAAAATACATAGTTTTTAATATGTCTCATTTAGAATGATTGTTGACTTGATTACTAAGACTTAGAGGACCAATACAATAAAAACAAAGATGACATATTCTCATGTCCTGGAGATTATTTGTACTTTTGTATTTTTCAGACAATAAAGCACACTTAAAATCCTTTAATTTTCTCAAAAATCGACAGTGTACCTTATAATCTGGTGTGCCTTATGTATGAATTCTGGTTGTACTTACTGACCTCGAACCGATTTTCTGTGGTACACGGCTCTCAAAAATCTGTCAAAAAATGTTTTAGTATGACTTTGGTAAGCTACAAAGCCACATTGCTTGATGGATTGTCGGAACATTACGGCTACTGTAGTCAGGAGCCTCACGGACGAATCTGGGTCCAAAACTCCGTCTTCTTCAGATCCCGAAGTCAAACAAACACTGCGTCATCACTGAGAGTTAAAAACTGTCTAAATTATTTCATCTGTAATAAAATGATCAGCGTTTCTGCTTTACCAGGTGTAACAATTAAGTCCAACATCCAGGCATCCATGAAAACAGAAGTTATTAAATTTAACTGAGTTAGAAGTTAGCAGGAAGTTAGCTACATGTGCTACATGGTGGCTAGCTACACAGCTATGTTAGCATAGCATAAACACAGTGAAGCTTGAGGATGAACGCTAACTTTTTTTCACTCGATAAAAGTTAATGTGAGGGTTCCCGATGGTTAAGGACAAATGGCAGGATGCTGTAAACGGACCAAACTTCATTTAGGAGAACAACAGAGATAATCCATCCACAATACCAGGTTAGTCATTAAAAACTGCAACAACACGTGAACAGACGAGCTGCGAGAGACTTCAACATTAATGAATCAATGGTACGCAAGTGTAGGAAGCAGGAAGAATGAGTTGAGTAAAGTTTGACTTATCTGACTGTTTTGTTTTGCTTAATGCGCCTTATAATTCGAAAAATACAGTATGTATTTGCTGCAGCATTTAGTATCATATTTAAACTATTTGGCACTCTTGTAAGTGAAACTCTTTAGATATGCTATCGTAAATTTCTGATAGCAGAATTTTTCATTTAATGGTAAATTAGGAAAATGTTTGATGTCTACTTTGTACAAATAAATATATGTATACTTGTGTGTCATTTCGTTTGAT